GGGGATATTCTTCGCTCGTTGTGAATTGAGCCATCGTCATCGAAGCTTGTGTGCGTGGCAAGGAAGCTTGGCCCAGCTTTCAGCCTCTGGCTGGGCGCCTAGCACACTCGTTGTCGTGGCATGTCTTGGCAACAAACAGAGTGTGAATTGCACAGACACGGATTATGTAACACTGTCCATACCCATCCCGATCGCCCAAAATGCCCCAGATAATGTGCACAAGGATGCCAGCAAGAGTGTTGGATAGAAATAGCTGCAGCGAACTATGTATAGCATCCAGTGTAGTTCGACCCGCAGCATCGGCTGTTATTTTTCCAGCAGTGCGGACCCACCCAGACCAAACAACGCTATTTTTAGTGCACACCCCAGAAATCGCCGTAGACGTTGCTCTTGTAATGGCCAGCACACGGGCTCTGGTTGATTTTTGGATTATTTACAGGATTCTGAGAGCGACCGAGGGTGATTAGAGTCATTGTCCGTTATCATTTCCGCTCTTGTGGAATGCCAAGCAAGCCAAGATTGGCCAAGGAAAGGGCTGCCGCCCTTAGCAGCCGGGGAATGGCGTATATTGTCTCTCTTGAACGCCAACCACCTCGCACTCTCATCCCCCCATCTCTCCTCTCTCTCCACTCGCTCTACAAAACCCACAATTTTAGCACTCGTAATTATGGAAAAAGATCCTGCTGCTACATCGACGATGACGACGACGACGGCCACACCGACCGTCAACGACTCGACGCCAAAGCCTGATACGGCCTCGCCGTCGTCTGCAGACTCGTACACCTGCCAGTGGACCACCTGCACGAAATCGTTTCCTGATCCCGAGGCACTCTACATGCACTTGTGCACGGACCACGTCGGGCGAAAATCGACCAACAATCTCTGCCTGACATGTCACTGGAAAGACTGCAATACCACCTGTGCAAAGCGTGATCACATTACAAGCCATTTACGAGGTGAGTTTTACAGGGGCGGGCCCATGCCCGATTATCAAGCTCTTCCCCCCTAGACTGACATTTGGTCTCGCCTTGTAGTCCATACGCCACTGAAACCACACTTGTGCGAGGTCTGCCACAAGTCGTTCAAACGACCCCAAGACCTCAAAAAGCACGAGAAAATTCACACCGAGGCACATCATCTCCAGCACAAGCACTCCAAGGCGATTACGGTCAAGGAGCTCCCAAGCAAGGCCAAGAGCCTCTTGGACTCTTCAGTCGCGAGTGATCGCCGACCGCACCAGGTCCGGTATCCCTCTATTGATAGTCAACGAACTTCTTCCAGCGCCGAGGGCCTTGGGTCCCTTGGCCTCGGCGTAAGTGTCGGCCAGAAACGACGCCATGATGCCGTCGAAGAACTCTTGTCCGATTTGAAGCGACGTAGATTAGAACCGACTTATAATGAGGGTTAGTGAACTATCCTTGAAATATTTGGCGGGCTTGGCATATTGAAATTACGTTTTTATCTTGGCTCTCTATAGAGATGGTTGCCCGGTTAGAATCGATCGTATCCGCCACTGGCGCGGCAGACTGGAGAGCCCATACAAACCATCCGCAGCTCTCGCTCCCCCAGCTCGGCTCTGCAGCAGACTCAATTCTCAACCCAAGCCTCTCTCACCATCACCACCACGCCCACAGTCACCACCATCCTTCCCTGTCCGCGGCTACCGCTACCGCTGGTGCTGGTGGTGGGGGACGTCTGCATGATCGACACCACCCCTCGCTTGGCACCACGCCCCCCCAGTCCTTGGACATGCCCTCCTTTCCCACGTCCGTCTCCCTGAACATCAACTCTCCCGAGGATCTAGCCGCCGTCAACGCGTTCCTCCTCGCTCTAGGCCGTGATGTGACCAGCGCTCACCACCGCTCGATGAGTGCGTCTGCAGCCGGCATGGGTGGTGGATTAGGCTCGGCAGCGTTGCACCCGCTCTTGCAGCCGAGACGCAATAATGACTATATTCCACAAGACAGTTGGTTTAATGATGATGGGTTGGCCCAGGTCGGACTCGTCGGACTCCCCGGGCTCCCCACGACGCACTTGTCGTTGCAACAGCAAGATGCAGATGCGGCTTATCTCCGAAATTTGCAAGCTGCGCGGTTTCTCAACCAACAGCAACAGCAACGCCAGTCCCACCCGCTCAGCGCGGCGTCGAGTCTCGCCAGTCTATACCCCAGTCTCGACATTGGGCTCTCTCGACTCGACAGCGGCAGGGATTCGGGACACCACAGCAGCAGCAACAACCATGCAAACAACTTGTTTGCGGATATTGGGAATACGTTGGCGCATACGCCACCCGCTGTCATTGCCAGCCCGCTCAGTACGACGAGCTCGACTGGATCGTCGCACAGTGCGTCGACGCCGCTCAATGGATCGGTTGTGCACTCGAGTGGTGGTATCGACTCGGGCACGTCTGGTGCTTCGTCGCTCAATGGCGGATCGAACGACTTTGGGTTGTATGATTCGAGCAAGTTGAGGGTGTCGTTTGACTCGCTCAAGCCTCCTTCCCCACCATCTTTGCTCTTGTCTACCCCCGCGCTCGGTCCAAGACCTGGTGCTGGGTTGTTGGGTACTGGACCCAAGCAGTCCTTGTTCTTGCAGACGAGTGTACGCAAGATGGAAGAAGATGCCAAGAAGAGGTCTGCTGAAGAACCCGAGAATGATGATGAGGAGATTGAGAATGAAGAGGTGGATGAGCTCGAGGATGAGGAAATCACGACGCCCACGACCGTCAAGCGTGGACTGCTCGCTGAAGAAGATGAGGAGGCGGATATCAGCATGGAGGACAAGGGACATTTGCGTGCATCGTCTCCTGCGGCCGAAGAGATGAGTCCTGAAGAAATTGACGAGGACAGTGACTCGCAAGAGTCGGCGGACGGTAGCATACACCAACCTGGCCACTCGCTCTACCCCCTCCTCAAACAAGAAGGTGACCCCAGACTCAAGTTGCCCGCTTTGGCCCTCTCCAACAAGCACCACCACCATGCTCATCATCCAAACCTTGCTGCTGCTGCACCCTCCATCTACCCCAAACTCACACCTGTCCGCAGGTGGTCGCAAGACTCGCAGTCCTCTTCAGAGGGCCGCTCGTCTTCTTCGTTGTCGAGGAATATGGGTGATATCTCATTGACGAGTCCGCCCAATGGAAGGCAGACGACGCTTCCTCCTCTTACTGCGGTCGTAGTCTCGTCGCCTCCTTCGTCGCCACGCTCCGATCTATCAAGTGAACTAGGTATGTTTTTTCCTTGACGATCCTAATCCAAAGCTAATCAAATTCTTTTAGGCTCTCGTGCATTCGGTAGAATATCTCATGAAGAACGACTCCGACATGCTACACTTATCCGCTCGTTGTTGCTCTATATCAACACCGAGTACGTTAAAAAGTATGGAGTCACCGGTGACGGTCTACAAGCACCAGCCCTCCCACAAGCACCCTCGTTGTCTGCTTTACATCCTCCCCATGGATACCAGCGGAGTCGAACACCCATCGAAGATAGGATGGAATTGGACTCGCCAGTCGGTTACGTTCCCAGTGCTGCGTGATCTCGTCTTCTTCTCTTCTTCACGTGTAAGAAAAAAGCCAGTGCACACCAAAGCTGCTATGGACCACAGCTACATGATAATATCCCCCGTCTCCATTCATCCCCTTTTTCACCATTTATAGATCTGCAAATGTGGGTCATTTGACAGTGTATACAAGCGAGCTTTCTATGTATCCTCTAACGACATCCCTTGCTTATATTTATGCATCTTTACGTCATTCCATTTTTCGTTTCAAGATTGAATCTCGCCTCGACGAACATGAGCACCACCAATGAGGTGACGTCGATTGCTTCAGAATTGAGTCGGATCCTTGCTGCCATCCACGTCGACCTATTTCCCTCAACCCATACTCGGATAGGAAAATTGTTATTTAGAGGACATTTAGGATTTTATAATTGGTGAAAACTATTGTCTAGTAGGGACTGATCCTCAAAAGACACCTGAACGAATCCACGAGGAACCTATTGACGGCGTCATTGTTACCAAACAAGTATACAAGAAGGAATAGAGGGATATATATAGTATATAAAGAATCCCCTAACGACTCCAAACATGGCTACCGATCCGGAAAGGAAAAAGATACAAGAGGTCATCACCCGCGAACAGTATAGAAGCCAAATGAACATTGGCCTAAGGGTCCTGAACCAAGTGAGTGTATTTTACAAGTTTTAAAATGGGGTTTGGATTGTGTATACTCCCGAGGGGCGGAGCTTCTTCTCTATAAAATGTGCTGGCCCCGATTCACAACCAATTCATATCTATAATACTGATGCCATTTATAGAGCAACAAGATCATTACCTCATTGACATTCATTTTCGTACTTATGACACGTTCTATCGCCGCTGCTTACTTTGGGCTTGGGGCTCTTGGCTGCGTCGTGGTTGTCAAATGCTGCAAACATATTTTTAGAGAGGCTCGACCGGCAGGAACCACGTACAAGATTACATATGGGTATGTTCGATTTGATCTTGCCTTTGCATTTAATGACGAATTCCTTTTACTCAGCATGCCCAGCACACATTCGGCAACCATATCATACTATGCAACATTTATAACCCTTTCTTGCTTATATCTTCCCATACACGTATCCCTGAGTGCTATCCCTAGATTCTTAATCTATCCGGTAGCACCTATTGTGGCCACCTCATCCGCCGCTGTCGTCTGTATCTCTCGGATCCGCCTGGGACATCACACACTCAAGCAGGTCGGCGCAGGTATCCTTGTTGGAGTAGGAGTAGGGATTGGTTGGTTCTCTTGGTGGACTAGTGGTAGCGGTCGGCCATTCATAGAAACCATTTTGAGCATCTTGCCAGAGTGGATTCGAAGCTGGATAAGATGACAGAGTGTTTACTCATCTCTAGATTTGCTTAGATACTCTTGGCCTTTTTATGCTAGTGATGGACATTGTAGAGGAATCACCTTGGATTACGACGTGATAGTCTAAATACTCGATACTATTTCAGTCGGCTTCCCCTTTATCTAGTTCCATCTTGTCCACATTGATGAGT